TATTATATACCACTCGTAGTAGTAGTCTTAAGCATAACTGAAAACTATGGAAATAATAATAATTATGCATATGTGTACAATATATCGATAATAATAATGGAGAGAATGTAAATCAATGCATACATATATCAGATGTACATGTTGACATATAAGAAAAGCATTAGTCGAATTTCAATTTATTCGACAAATTACACAGCGAGAAAAATGCTATGTATAATTTGCACATCAATCTAAGTATGTATATCTAAGATCAAGAATTGAAATTGTATAAAGTTCTGTATATACACAGATATAGCTACGTAAACTACATATACACAACGACGGATTTTACATTTTGTAGCCTTTGATCATCAAATTGGTTCGAAGATAAACCAAAATTTTATTTAACAATATATACACATACATATATGCATATGTATGTATGCGTGTATATTGAGGACTTTTGGCAGAGATTTTCTTAGGTTCAAAACGGATAAAGCTAGAAGGACTGATAGTTTTTAGGCACAACCCAAATGGCAAATTGCAAATTAATCCAAAATTATTATAAGAGATCCAAATTATGTTCATACATTTTTATTAACCTGGCGTAGAAGAAGAAGAAGAAGTATGGCAATTTAATTGTCCATCCAAACTGGATGATGTGTTTTGTTTCTAGTAACTCTCAATTGGCACATAAATAAATCCGAAAAGATACTAAGTGAAATGGAACTCATGAATGTATAATCAAAATGAATTCGGACTAAACGACGTATTTTTAGACTTTCATTTGCATTACATATTGATTTTTAAAGACTGAACTTTTGAAGTATCCTTAAAACAAAACAACAAAAACAATTGAAAGCAATTGAAAGAGGGAGGGGAGAAAAGAACGAATAGCATTATTGATAAGCGTGCAATTTCGGAATAGTCGACGAACAACGTGAAAACTGTACATCATTTAGCCCTTTGCTTACATCAGTGCATACATACATATATATACATATGTATATATGTAAATTGATATGAAATATGTAACTATGTATGCATCAGATGAAGTACATCTACATTTTAATGTTCATAATTTTCTCAATAAAGTTTACTCGTGGTTTTATGCATCATACATGATGTACATGGAAAGCAACATATGCAAATGTATATACGTACATACTTACATTCACACATACATAAATATGTAGACCATGTAGTGAAATTTTATTTTTTATGCATTTTTACATACATATGTATATGTATATACATATATACATAGCTATATCCATGTGAAGATAAACGGTC